AAGAGATACAGGAGGCAAATAAGCATATAAAAAGATGTTCAGTATCCTGTGTCATTAGGGAATTACAAATTGAAACAATGAGATATAAGTACAAACCTGTAAGAATGGCTAAAATTTAACAGACAATACCAACTGATGAGGAGGATATGGAGCAAAAGGAATTCTCATTACCAGTGGGAATGAAAAAATGGTTTCAGTTTCTTACATATCTTAAACATAGTTTAACTTATGATCCAGCAATCATGCTCCTTAGTATCTAACCTATTTTGCTGAAAACTTCTCGTTTGTCTACACAAAAACCAGCACATGAAGCTTATAGTAGCTTTACTCATGTTCATCAAAAATTGGAGGTAACCAAGGTGTCCTTCAATGTGAATGAATGGATAAAATGGTAAATCCACAGAATGGAGTATTACTCAGAAATAAAAAGAACCTATCAAGCCACAAAAAGACAGGACAGAACCTCAACTGCATATTGCTCAGTGAAAGAAGCCAATCTTTAAAGGTTTTATATACTGATTCTAACTATATGACATTCCTGAAAGAATTATACCAACAGTAAAAAGGTCAGTGGTGGCCAGGATTTGGGGGACAGATTTTTTAGGGCAGCAAAAATATTCTGTATGATACTATAATGATAGGCACATGTCATTATGCATCTATGAAAACCCATAGAACTATACAATAGGAGTGACCTTAAACTCTGGACCTTGGTGTATGTATTAATATTGATTCCTTAATTGTTGTACATATACCACACTAATGCAAGATGTTAATAATTGGGGATACTGTTCGAAGAGGGGTGTGGATATATGGAATGCTATACTATATGCTCAATTTTTCTATAAATCTAAAACTGTACTAAAAATAAAGTCTATTAATAACTTTAAATGCAAGTTATGACATGGAATGTTATCTGATTCCATTGTTGTGATTGTTTACGTGCATAAAAGTAAGTCTGAAAGGTCAAAACCAAAACAGTCATCTTTAAAAATCTCGACTTATCTTACTACTGGTATCACACTGCTAAAGAAAAATATGGAAATAAGAGGAAGGAGACTTTGTGAAAATATTGGTTTGGTTAGAATGGATTTACTAAAGATTAAAGCTGTTAAATACTGACAAGCACTGCTATTTTGTGTACAGACTTATCAGACATAATGACCATTCCATTAACAAATAGCACTTGAAAACTGACCCCTTTTTTGGTATAAGGACTTTTTCACTCCAAACATTCTAAATTTATAGATTATAAACAGTGACAGTTGGACGTTATGGTTATAGGCTGACAGTCCAACTTAACCGACACAAGTTTCTAGTCAGAGAGCAAGATGTGGACAAATTTGAATTGCATGCCATATTTGGATGAACACAGTGTTTCTGGTTTCCATAGTGTCCCAAATGAGGTATGAAAAGGTAGGATCTTTTGTGATTCTTCATGCTTTGCTCATGGCCTAATTTTCTATTTTGAAGCGCTCTCACGTTTAGTCTCCGCTTACTTCTAAAAAAGATGTCAATCTATGTTACAATTTTATTTTTTAAGTACAATTTGAGTACAGAATAACCATGAGCTGATCTAAAATCTCTAGCTTGCCCTGTCTACTGAATATACAGTATTTGCAAACCAAAACTTCTGAATCAGTTTTATGTTCTGGAAAATTGCACCCTGTCTTGATATTCATTTAGGAGATTGAGAAACTAGAAATGTGGATGGAAAAATCACACAGATTGTGGATTACCATTATCTGCTGACTGTACAACATTGTTAGGAAAGCTGCAGAAGGCAATGTGGAGGAAGTCAGCAAGGATGCTGGGTGAATGATTTATCAAAGAATTTTAATGAGCATATAAATGCTGTATAGTATAAAAATCAAGGAAGCAGCATTCACTAAAATTAAGGAAAATTATGAAGTATGTCTAATTCTAATATTGAATGCCTGCATGAAGTTCATCACCTGCCCCTCAACCAAAAAAACGACTCCCTCACACTTCTTCACCATCGCCCATGATGGAGTCTTCATTCACAAGCACAATAAGCCTTCTCAGGTATTTTACACAGACACCATCGTTATAAACTCATTTTTTTAATTTTTCAGTCAATACACCTGGATCCACACTAGCATGTCTTCCACTGCTCTTGGTTCTTTACAAATACTGACTCATTTAATCCTCACACTAACCCATTAATTGTGTAGTATCATCACCTCTATTTAATGGACAAAGAAATGATACAGAGACATAGACATTAACTTGTCCGAAGTCACACAGCCAGTTGAGAGGCAGTCAGGATACACACCACAGCGGTTTGGCTCCAGTCCATCTTAAGCTATACGCTGCTGCCTCACACTTTTTATTTATAAATAAATATCTGCTCTTAGTTTCAGATGAAAATCTTCCATTTCTCTCCTGAAATGCCATCTCTCTTTCTTTTCAATGTATCTAGTTCAATTTATGGCCACTGGTCTTCTATCATAAAATGTTCCATTTTAAAGAGTGTATGAACAGTAGGAAATAGAGATGTATTTTCCCCTAATTTGAGACAGAAAAAGCAGAGACTCTTTTCCTCAAATTTCTCATTTCCATTTTCTTAAATGCTACTTTTTAAAAAAAGTTAATTTCTAAAAGTTTAAGGTACTTTCTGATCCCTTAAACAATTAAAATAATTTCATCACAATTTTATTTAGCCTCATGCTTAATGTTGTTAGCACAGAAACCTCCTTGAAGCAAAAACTATAACAACCACCTAACTGCACATTTAAAAGCTTCCAATAACCAAAACCAAGGGAATGCCCCTTCATGGTTCTGCTAAAGCAAGGGTATTTTTGTACCCTTCCGAATTATTTCTGTACTTAAGACGGTTTTCATTTCTGAATTTAAAGGTCAATTATAATGAATGGGAAGGGAAGGGTAGAACAGACAGGGAAGACATCAGGCCTCAAGAGTGACAGAAAACACAAAAAAGACAGAACATGCTTTCCACAGTGGAATACCAATGTTTGATGAACATTCATAATCCACCAATTTAAAGGCAATATTCCAAAGGGATTAAGGTCAGGGACTATGACCTTCATCTGGTAACTGAGGTTCCAATATAGGCCTGTGGCATTACTCCTCTCAGGCTTAAGGAGCTCTTATTTAAAACAATTCTTTATTAAAAGATCTTAAAATTGTCTTACAGGGTTTTAAAAAAGGTTATTTCTACAGTGTTATGCAAAATATGTTGTCCTTATTTCAGGAACTCTTCACATTTTTAAAAGATCAACCCGGATACCACTCAAGGTTTTAAATATACTGACAGGTAACATTAATACACAGTAAGATAGGGAAGGAAGGAGGGTGAATGTTTGCTGAGCACCACCACATGCCAAGAACTGTTCTGCAAGCTAAATCACTAAGAACATGTCTTTTGTTTAGTTGACCACCACGTTTTAGCAACTTAATGCAGACCAGGAAACTAACAAATGTGTGCCAAGTGATTTGCAAATGGCACAACTGAGAATTCGACAAAGGTAACTTCCTAATTCTCATGAATATTCTTTTCCAATATTAGAAAAAACTGACTCCCAAGGCAAATCCACCAACATTTTTATGTAGGCACTTCGCATTACATTAATTCCTTACCCTAAAAATCTTGCCTATTGTTTTAAATATTTTGCTTAATGAAAAACATACCTATTTCTATTAATACTGTATAGTCCCTTCACATAAACTAGGATACAAAAATCTAGTTTAGTGTTATAGCTCCTTGAATTCTCCCTTATTGTAAACCCAGGGAATTGCTACACCCAGCCTATAACTAATAATCTCCTTAGTATTGTGTCCGAAATGGTCCCAGACTTTGACTAGCATCAAGACATTTCATCCTACTAGATGGTCCCACAAACCATCCTTTATCTGACTATTCGTCCTAGGATTTCTAATATGCTATTTTTTTTCGGGAACCAATGCTTAAAATTGTTAAAAATTACACAGCAGTTAGGTACTTAAATCTACCTCCTCCTCCTCTCAGGACCTTGGGACAATTTCATGACCTTGCAGGGCTACTGCTTTGGCATAATGGTTTCAGGATAGTGCAAGGTGTCTTTCTCTTCCTCGCCAACATATTTTTAAGGTCTCTTTTGCACCCAAACTACCCTCGGCCCACGAGGGCACTTATTTGATTCACTAGTGCCCAACAAAGCCCCTATTACGTGGTAGGTGCTTAATAAACGTTCTGCCTGAATCAAACAGCTCTTCAAGTGTTAACTCCGCTGTACACTGGCCCATGCAAACCCTGCCAAACACTGGGTAGTTTCAAAAGCCTTCAAGGACTTAAAGCACAACTTAACCTTCCCCTAGACCTTGCCTTTGGTTCTCCCCTCCCCCTCACTTTGTGGGCTCAGGAAAAGACTGCACCACAATCATTGCTTGGTACAGAACAGGAGCTCTGCAATTACTTATGCGATGAATGAATACAAGACAGCCCTGAAATTAATTAGGACTAAAGTTTCAAACCCGAGGAACAAGATGACAACTCCTCGTGGCCCTCATCCTGCCCCATCCCACTTCAGGAGAAGTGGCGTGACCTTGTGGTCTCTCGAGACCTTTCGCGTGAGCTCTCCGAATAGGAGGCGCTTCCTGAGGCCCGGGCCTCCGCGGGACCAGGGGCCTGGCTCGTCCTGAGACCCTTGTTGCGCCCCACTCCCCTCCACCCACTTCCCCTTCCCTCTAATCGAGTTCTTCCATTCCTTGCACCCTTCCGTTCCTACCGCAAGCTGCCATACCATTGTGGCTGCACCGCCCAGGCCGAGACCCCTACGACGCCCGCTCGAGAAAACATGGTGGCATACGGCCCCGCTGAAGGTCGGTCAGACAGGTCTCACTGCGCAAGTGCAAGAGCTTCCCCACGCCCACTCCTATCCCGCTTTCTTTTTCAGCCTCGCTTCCTGAAGCCAAACGGACGTAAACCTCGCGAGCGTTGGAGGCCCAGCCTACCAAGGCCCCACCTTTTTCCGGCTCCTAGCTGGTATTTGTTCCGCCCACCGGTCAGTCCGGTTCCGTTTCCGGCTGACAGTACGGTGGGCTCCGAGGTCTTAGCTCTCCGGTGGTCGCAATGGGGAAGTCGGATTTCCTTACTCCTAAGGCTATCGCCAACAGGATCAAATCCAAGGGGCTTCAGAAGCTGCGCTGGTATTGCCAGATGTGCCAGAAGCAGTGCCGGGACGAGGTGAGCTAACCTGGGGGATAGCCCCAAGCCCAGTCCTCTTCCTTGGCTAAGTCCGGCTGGAAATCCGGGCTCTAGTCCCTGATGATGACCGTGAAGGCGTGGATCTCAGGTCCCTAATCACGGGTCTGTACTGGGCGAGTCAACTAGTCAACACCGTATGGACATCCTTCCCTGCAGCCCCCGTCCTAGTGGGAAATCATTGGCCTTTGACACTTCTTTTCTCCCAGTTGACCCCCCCAAAGAAATGGGAAATAAGAAAAGGTTTTGCAGCTCGAAATGATTCCACTCAAGGTGTCGGAAAACGGAGATTTGAATAATTAAATGCTAGGCTCCTGGGCAATAACAATCACCTTTGACGACGTGACTCTTAAGAGAAAGATATGATAAGGATTCACACCTCATTTCAGGGTCAGATGAAAAAGAAGAAGTAAGTTATTGGACGCCACTCATTTAACAACAATTTATGGAGCAGCTACGATGTGCTAGAGCCAGGATATTATTGTGGTTAAGATGTGGACTCGCGTCAGACTGAGAATTATGAAACTTAACCACACTACTTGCTGCTGTGTGGTCTTGGGTTAGTTACATTCTCTCTGTCTGTTTACTTACCTGTGAAATGGGAACAATAACTATACCTACTTGTAAGATTGTTGTGCATTGTAAATGAGTGCAATATGTGTAAAGACCTCAGGAGGTCTTTGGGTAGTTTTTGAAAAGTTTTATGTTTCCTGCTGTGGAGTTTACACTTTTTTGCATTAATGAGGGATGAATCGCCTTGAAGAATTGAGAGCAGGCTAGTGACGTGATATTTTTCTTTGGAGATTGAATCAGGGAAGGATGGATGAACGTTGGGCAGTAGGAATAATCTAATCCATTGTTTGTGCATGTGAGATGAGATATTTTAGGTGGGACTCAACATTGAATAACATTGATACTGTTACTCGTTTTCGTTTTTCTTTAGTTCTTGCTGTTTAAGTCAAGGTGGAAATCTCACACAGGAAACTAGAGACTGGTACATTAAACATCCATATATCCATTACCCAGATTTAACATTTCAGTATTCTGTCATATTTACTTGTTTCTTAAATATTTTAAAGTAAATCACAAACTTAGGGATATTTCACCTTTAAATACTTAAATATGCACTTCTAAAATATCCGGATATTTTTCTGCGGAGCCAAAAGATACGCCGTCACACATAACAAAATTAATAAAAATTCTTTATTTCATCTGATACACCATACTCACATTTCCTTAGTTCTGCCAAATGCTTTTTAAACAATTTTTTAAAAAAACCAAGATCCAATCAAAACCTATGAATTGGATTTGGTTATTAGGACTTGTTAAAAAATAAACTTTATTTTTTGAAAAGTTTTATAATGACATGTCATTATCACCAAAATCCATACTTTACATTAGGGTTCACTCTTGGTTTTGGACAATCTGTGAATTTGGGCAAATGTATAATGACATGTATCCACTGTTGTAGTATTGTGTAGACTAGTAGTTTCACTGCCATAAAAGTCTCTGTTCTTCACATTATTAGGACTTTTAATTGCCTCTAAATTGTAAATTTACAATAGGACCCACTTCCTCCTCCCTTCTCTTCCACTCTTGCCATTTACTTGGAGAGACGAGGTCAGACCATTATCAGAGCATTCCTACTCTGTATATGTTAAATTGTTTCCTTGTCATTGTCTTTTGCCTTCTTTCTCTAACTTGTGTAGTTTTTTTACTTCTAAAGACTTGATTAAGTTCAGGTTAAATATTTTGGGGATGAATACTTCATAGGTGATTGAGTGTATTTCATATTGCATCAAGTAAGGAAACCCATATGATTAAGTAAAAAGGATGTTAGAAAGTAATATTTTCTATCTTGCAAGAGCAAGTAACTGGTAGGATGATACTTTGGAATCATGACCATATACCTAGTTTTCCATTGCCTTTCTCCTGTGTGGTTTAGCATCTACACCTGAGTCACTTATTTCATTAGGAGTTGCAGAGGGGTTACTTTTTAAATTTTTTCTACAATAGATTTGTTATTGGCTGCTATTCATTTGTAAAAATGAGCTTTTTCTCATCAGTCAAATGTTATCCTCAAATACAGTTCCAATAGGAAGGGAAGATAAGTACTTAATTCTTTCCTTTAAGGCATTTGTGGTGGTTCTGGCCTGTTTGCCTCCAGATCTATTTATTTCCCTTCCCTACCTGAGAGGACAGCCTGGAGGAGGAGAAGTTGACCCCAAAAGTTCTGCCTCTGGTTTCTGTCTCTCAACGTTGGAAGATTGAAGGGGAGTAATGTCAGGTCCAGAGTATTCCACTCCTGCTCATCTACTCCCTTGTATTTCTAGGGTTTAATAACATTATTTTGCTTTCATTTTATTGACTTACTTTTAATTTTTGAAAAATGGGACTGGTTTTTCATTTATGACACCAAGTTTCTTTTTAAGATACATTTAAGTAAGAGTAATGCATGGGTAGCACACAGATGAGCAAGAATTATATAGGTGGTCTTTGGATGACCAAAGATAAGGAAACTACCCTAATCAAGACAGATGAAATCAGGATAGTGGCCATGGGATTGAGCAGAGAGACTGGATAAGAGATACTGATTTAGAAAGCTGAGTAGGCTCAGTAATAAATGGAGTGCAGGATGAAGGAGAAAGACACTAGGATGCCAGCCTTGATCCTGGCTTGGGTGATTGGGTGTGTGGTATAGTGCTAATGACTGAGATGGGTACAGAAGGAGAGGCACATTTTTTCATTTCTATTACTAGTGAAGAATCAGATTCAAATGCTACGTTGAACAGATACAAAGTCAAAATTTCTGTGCTTTTATAATCATCTGATAAGATACAGCTTTAGGGCATTTACACTAGGTTTATGTAATATGTAACAATGTATTTTGGATAATAGCTAAAGTAGAGGAAAGTGGGTGAAAAAATAGTATCCTTAATGGAAATTAATGACCCATTTTATTTCATTATATTCTTTGAAGTGCTTGTATAACACTGTGTGAAGTAGGTGCTCCGCAGAAGTTTGTTGAGTCAAAAAAACACGAACAAACCCTGAAATCATTCTTATGTTACTGTGCACAATAATGTTTCTTACTCATGTCTGTTTTCTAACACACTATTTTTCTAATACCTACAGTTATTCTTTGATTAGGATGGTTACAAAATTCAACTTAATAAAAAATAGTAAAAATAAAAATAGGGTGCTTATGGCTAGTGATTTTATTAATTTTTACAGTTTACCATCAAAGTACATCTTTTTTAGAGTTTAATTAAATGCTTCTGCTTAGGCCCCATTGTGATGACCTAGATCAGAATTTAACTACTTTCTTTACATTTTTTGTAGAATGGCTTTAAGTGTCATTGTATGTCCGAATCTCATCAGAGGCAACTATTGCTGGCTTCAGAAAATCCTCAGCAGTTTATGGATTATTTTTCAGAGTAAGTAACTAAAAGACATTCTTACATCATAAGCTTTACTCAGTCGGACATTTAATAGATGCTTAATATTTTATATATTGGAGGTTCTGTTTATTCCTTAACATACAACATGATAGCTATGTTGTCTTTGTACTCAGTTCCTATCTTCCTTGGACAATTTATTATAATATGAAATTGTTAAAAAAATGTTTCTCAAGATTCAGCTTTTCTTTTCTTTCACTTCAAACAAACAAAACTATCTTCTCTAAAACAGGTGTGGCTAAGAGCACAGCTCTGGAGTCAGACTGCCTGACTTTAAATCCTTCAAATCTGGGCTTCTCAACTTGTGAGCTATCTGACTCGGTGAATTACTTAGGTTTTTCTGGGCTTTCCTCTCATCTTTACTAAAAACAGTACCCTCTTCCAAGTATTGTCTTTCCTTCATAGGGTTTATCTGAGGTTATATGAGTTAATACTTTTAAACTGTTTAGAAGACTTAATATTAGCTGTTAATCATTAATAGTATTTAGTCTTGCTTCAATCTGTCTCTTGCTATTTAAAGTTCTAGGAGTTTTGATCTTAGGATCATCATGAATACCACCAGGGTACAAATGGCACACTTTGGGAATTACCATTCTGGCAAGAGCCCCCTACCCTCTGTGTTTTCCTTGCTACCCCCATTCACTCTGTCCAGTGTAGCTGCCTTGCACCTCTGTCAGGCCCCGAAGAGTCATTCATGCCTTTTTCCATCTTCCTCTTCCTTGATCTCTCCTCAGTAGATAATGGTCTTAACTTACAATTAAAACACCTCTCTGATTTACATTTCCCTGGTTTCTTCCCTACTACTCTCTGTGCTCACTTCCTTCATTAACTCCTCTTTCTCTTCTAGTTCCTCAAATGTAGGAAGGCCTTCGGGGTGCCTGCTGGGCTTCTTTGCATCCCACTTCACACAGTCTTCATGAGTTAATTATTCTTCTGTTACCTTTATGTTTGAATAAACATAAACTCTGAAGTCTGGATGTTCATTCCTAACATCTGTCTTGGTTACAGGGGTTTTTGTTTGTTTGTTTGTTTTTGTTTTCTGGGCAGTTCTAATCTATATTTCTGAAGGCTGTCTCAAAGTCAGTATTTCTAAAGCTGAAGTTAGAATTCTCCCCACCACACCTTCTGGTTTCCTGTGCTGGCTGATAACTCCCTACGCAGACTGCTAAACTGTAAACCTCGGAGTCCTCTGGGAATTCGCTCAGGTGGATTCTCTACAGTGTCCTTTAGAATTATGCCTTTTCCATTTTCACAGCCCAGTAATCATCCTCAGTGTCTCCACCTAAAAAATTTCAGTGACTTTCTTACTCGTCTCCCAACCTGCAGCTCCTGCCCGTACTGTACCCGTTCTATGCCTGTGGTTCCCAAGCCAGTGCGTATGTTAGAATCACACTGAGGGCTTGTGAAGGCAGAATGGCAGACCCCCAACACCCACTTTCTGATTCCGTAGCTCTGGGATGGGCTGTAGACTTTGCGTTTCTATCGAGCGCCCAGGTGATGTCGATGCTATTGGTCTGGGACCACACTATGAGAATTATTATTATATACTGTCCACCAGAATTATCTTCCCAAATCACAGATTTTCACAGAGTAACTCCTAAGTAAATTATTTTATGTTTGTCCATTGTCTGCACAAAACCAACCTATTTAGCATGACCTACAAGGTACTTAAAAAATTAGCCCTAACATATTCCCACTATGTCTTCTCCCTGTTATTCTACCCCCACTCTCATAGTTATTTTTATCTGCCTTCAGTGTTTTCCAGATTTGATTGTCATTTCTCAAATGTGTGAAGCTTTCCTGTCTCTGTGCCAGCTGGAAATGGGCTCTTCCTCACCTGTAAAAGTCCTATTTATGCTTCACCTCTCATATTCAAAATCACCTCTGGGCACCTCTGAGTATCTCCCTCAACTCTTCCTCTGACATTTTGTTACATCTCTTTTTCAGTTTGACTTCTGTTATGATTGGCTCTGCTAGATGGTAGCCTAGGTGAAGATTTATGTTTTATTTACCTATGTTTATCTATGGAATAAGAGGTTTTTGTTTTTTGTTTTTTGGTTTTTTTTTATCATCTGTAGAATGGGGTTGTTGTGCCACAGTTGGTAGTGCTAAGAGGCTCCATGAAGGATGCTCTCCAAAGATGATGGTCACTTTTGCTATGGCTAATTTGCTAAGACAAAAAGTTTCAACTCCAAACTGACTCATAACTTTAATTCTTGAAAGCTATAATCTTTTGCGATAGTTTCCTTGTTCAGTTTTTAAAGGTTATTAACAGATATTCAGTAAATGTTCCCTACATCCTTTGAAAATTCAGACTGTTCAATGGCTTAAATTTCAGGAAGGTAATGCTATATATTTATAGATATTACCTAATGCTTTCCTTTCTTTATTAGGGAATTCAGAAATGACTTTCTAGAACTTCTCAGGAGACGCTTTGGTAAGCATCTTAAGTATTGTGCACATAGTAACTTTTAGTCTTATAACCTATTCAGGATCAACAGTTCCATATTTTGTTCTTAGGCACTAAGAGAGTTCACAACAACATTGTTTATAATGAATATATCAGCCACCGAGAGCACATCCATATGAATGCCACTCAGTGGGAGACTCTGACTGATTTTACCAAGTGGCTGGGCAGAGAAGGTAAGAATAAGACATATTTGAACAGTTGGTATGTGGTTCCATTGCAAGGAGAGTTGTTATAGTTTCTGTGTAAATTTATGGAAAAGAAGATGAGTAGGGTAGTTTAAAAACTGATGGAGATAAGCATAATATTCCAGGGTTGATTTTACATATTATAGTTGAGTATGGATATCTAGAATTGCTCTTTGGACAGAGCCAAGATTTATCACTGAAGCAACTTCTCTTTTAGATTAAGGATTATTATCAATCCTCTTCTATTCCTCCCCCCATCACGCCCATATTCATTTCACTTTAGGAAACTTGTTACCTCTTCTTAAGGAGATTTTTAAAATTTATTGTTTCTTTTTCCATTTTTAGTCTTCATAGCATGAAAAATTGGGGAAAAGAAAAGAGAAGGAAGTTTTGTGTTAATGTGTACTTATTCAAGTGTGTTATTTTATTCCATTTTTGTGGACTAATTTCTATTTAATTAACAGAATATCATGTACTCATTGGATGTCAAACACTTATACACAGTTGAATAATTACTAAGCAAGATAATACTTCTTTTCTATGTTTTCTTCATTTAAATATGTTGCTTCAGCCTACTAGTTAAAACTCAGAACAGTAATTTTTTGTGTTCAAAGAGATAAAATATTCTGCTTAAAATATCTAAATCTCATTAACTGTGAATATGGAAAATTCATGTACTGCATGAATTTGTATATTTGAATGAATGAGTAAATAAAGCAGAGATAGAACACATTTGCATTTACCTTTAGCTTTGATTGTATACCAATTTATGGTGTCTGCTTAATATTTTTAAGGCTTGTGTAAAGTGGATGAGACACCGAAAGGCTGGTACATTCAGTATATAGACAGGGACCCAGAAACTATCCGCCGGCAACTGGAACTAGAGAAAAAGAAGAAGCAGGACCTTGATGATGAAGAAAAAACTGCCAAATTTATTGAAGAGCAAGTGAGAAGAGGGCTGGAAGGAAAAGAGCAGGTGGGCAACAATGTGATTGAGAGAGACGATAGAAAAAGGGATAAAGAAACAGAATTGCTTGTTTTGTTAAGCATCGGATTGAGTTTTGTAGATATTATTCCTTAACTAAGAGAGGAAGTACAGAGCTGAATGTAAAAGCCCAGATTTTGGAGTTGAGACAAACTTGGGTCAATCCCTGACATACTGACTTCACAATCTTGTGTAATTATCTTCTAAACCTCAATATTTGTATCTCTAAAAAGAGGCAATAGTTAATGGGGAAGAAATAAATCGATAATTTCTCCTGATTGTAGTTAATGCAGGACTAGAGATAAACACTGTGTAGGAACACAGAGAGCCAAAGCTTGCTCCAGCCTGGGGCAGATGTGAAATGTTTGAAGGTAGATATAACCCATGTGTTGAGAAGGCTTGTTATTGGTGGTCAGAATCCAGGTAAATGGGGAAGGAAGGGCATGGTGGTGGTTCAGGGGTTAGAATAACTAGATCAAGGCATTTATTTTAACAAATATTTATTGGGTCCCTTCTGCAGGCCAGGCACTCCTTTAGGCACAGGGGGTACAGTAATGAACAAAAGATTTTTAAAAATTCTGTAAGATAGTTTTCAATTGGAGAATATTTATAATACATGTAATTTCTTGATTAGAGTCTCAATCATTTTCAAGTTGTATCTTAGGGCTGCCTTGCATTACAGGTAGAAAGTCCTAATTTAGGAATAATGAATACTAATAGTAAATTCTCTATGAACCAAACCTTCAAACTTTCCTTCCCCCTTAGGAAGCTCCTGTTTTTACAGAATTAAGCAGAGAAAATGATGAAGAAAAAGGTAATTTTACTTGTTTTTCTTTTTTTAATGTGAATGCTCTTATATTGGTTCTGCTAAAAAGTTAACAGCATGCTTAGTGAGACGTAATCTGTCTGAATTGCATCGTTCTCATCAATAAAATGAAAAGGCAGTGCTAGCAAATTGGATGGGATGCCCTCAGCTGTAAGTAACAAAACTGGCAAGTAACAATTTGACCTAACAATAAGGAAGTGTTTTACCATGCTGAGAGTCCCAGAGGTGGGGTAGTTCAGGATGCCATACTCTTAGCAACTGGACACATGGCCGCTGCAGGCACTTCCAGCCATCACTGCAGACCAACCACTGTCCAGAGGATGACAGAGAACATCCCTTCTGGAGTACCCTATGAGTAAGGAAGGTTTTCTAGATGATAATTCTCCCCCCAGTGGAGTTCTTTTTGAATGTCATTGGCCAATCTAGCACATGTCTACCTCAAGAACAGTCACTGGGAAGCGAATGAGATGATTTTGATTTATTTAGACCATAAGAACCTTACTAATCACTTCCCAAGGGTCCCACCTTATAGTCTTGTCACCTTGGCATTAGGTTTCAAGTAATTCAAATGTGAATTTTGGGGGACACAAGCATTCAGCCCATAACATCCTCTGCACCATGTGTGAGAGGTATGTACGCCTAAACAAAATTGGATCTCTATTAGTGAGGGGAGCTGGGGCAGTGGAGTGGAGAGGCGGCCAAGGCTGTGCTACAGATGGATCATGAAGATCTTTCCCAGCCCTGTAAGCATCCATCCAGTATATTCTACAGGAATTCATGACTTCTGCATAGCAGCAGTCCTGCTTTCATTTATTCAGAGTGCTCATGGAAAACGATGACGACAGACTGCCCATGAATTTCTATGTGGATATACTGTGGTATCTTATCTGATACATTTTATTATCATTTTCCTGAAATACATGGAATACCAATTTTTCTCTTCTAGTGACATTTAATTTGAATAAAGGAGCATGTAGTTCAACAGCAACATCTTCCAAGTCAAGGTGAGCTACATGAACAGGTATCTTAGAATTTGAGAAGTTTTGTGAAATGTTGATGACTACATTTTAAAAGCTGTGGTATTGTGAATAAGTTTTTTTTTTTCTGGTTCTATTTTTGTTAGTTTGTGTTTGATGGCTGGTTGGGGTTTTTTTGTGCATGTGTGTGTGGTTTCTTTTAGCAGCTGTTTTTTTCTTATTTGCCTGTCATGAGATGACTGTCTTTTGAAAAAAGGCTTCTTTTGTTTAATGGCTTCACATAGATAAACTGTTGCTTCTCCATGCATCCTTCCCCACTTAGTGGTTCCTCTGTGCTGCTGGAGTACTGCTTATTTTCCTATCATTGCCCTTAGCAAGTTTAAATGTTAGCTAGGGTATACATTTTTTGTTTTATCTGATGTGTTGTGATTTTTCTGAGAATAAAGACTTATTAACCTATCTCCTTAACACTGTCACCTAGTGTAGTATAAATACACTAGTAGGCACTCAGTAATAATTGCTTTCACTTCTAGATAGTGTAGTACAGGCAGGAGTCCACAAACTTTTCTGTGAAGGGCCACACAGTAAATATTCTAGACATCGTTGGGTCATAGGTATGTCTTTGTCACAACCATTCATTTAACTCTGCTTTCAGAGTGGGAAGGCAGATGTAGGCAGTGCTCAAATGAATGTGATGTGTTCCAGTGAAATCGTATTTATAAAGACAGGCCATAGGCTGGATTTGGCCCACAAGCTGTAGTTGGCTAAACCCTGATATAGCATGTAGTCACTTCTGTCCACTTTTCATCCTCCTTTTTAGTTATATATCCTTTTATCAAATATTTATTCACTGTTTGTGTTGTGCAAATGCAGTCAATTTAGTTGAGGTTTAAAGGCTAAATATAAGAGATGTTCAGGGAGGTACCAGTATATATGTGAATTTAGCTTTAAGCTGTGTTTTACATGTTGTGTGTTAAGGCCCTCATGTGGGGCAGGGAGCAGGGGTTAATTTATAGGCTAGCACCTATTTGCATGACTGAAGTGGCTAGGAGAGTTGAAGGACGTGGGCAGGCTGAGCCAGCAATGTATAACTGCTTCACAGTGGCTTACCAGATGTCATAGCTTTGATCAAAATGTTTCAGAATTAACACCTACATTAGGTATCATGAAGATATTGGTTAATTGAATTCTGTATATGGTACCTTTGAAAATTCTTTTTAAGCTATTGATATGATATGACCTGGAAGACAGGCTTGAATATATCATAACACATGTCATATGGTTTTAGACCCTTCTGTATTTCTCTTTGTTCTCCTTTATTATTTGTTATTCCTAAGTGTAGATGAATGTTAAGGTTGGTCCCAATGTCCCCAAATTGATCACCTTTGTATTAGTTTTCTATGACTCTGTTAGTAAATTACCACACACTAGGTGGCTCGAAACAGTGGAAATCTTTTCTGTTTCTGGAGATCAGGATTCTGAAATCAAGGCGTCTGCAGAGCTGTGCTCCCTCCAGAGCCTCTGGGGGAGAATCTGCTTCTGGTACCTGTTGGCACTCCTTGGCTTATGGCTGCATCCCTCTTGTCTTAATGACCAGGGTCTTTAAATTTCTCTTTGCTTCATCTTCATATCACCTCCTCTGTATGTGTCAGACCTCCCTCTGTTTTTCCCTGAAAAGAATGTTCTAATGGGACCTTTAAATATTTTTTTAAATTTTTAATATTTAGAACAAATAATGGACAATAATAATTCTGTTGTATTTTCTAATCATCACACTTTTTTTCTTGGTTATCTCCATGGTAGCTTTGTACAAACATTTAATTTTTTGTAAAGATGACAGATTAAATAATCACACTACAAGGTGGGGGGGTGTCATGTATGTCTTACAGTGCTATGGCATTTCAAAAAAAAACATTCAAGAAACCTCATGAATAATGGATCTTAAAAACTTTTAACAGATGTAGATAAATGGAGAGAGATTATTTAAGGTATAAAAGAGGCATGTACAAATTTGCAAAGGCATGAAGCATAGGGCATAGCTCAGTCAATAGCAAATTGTTTACAGTGGCCAGTGAACATAGTAAGCCAGAGATATTACTCCACTGGGATCAGTGGTGACAATTTTATATGAGCACTAAAAAAATAGAACTTACACTGTCAACTCTAGACAGTGAGGCAATCAAAAGTATTTAAGTGGTATATTAAGATCTTTGCTTTGAGCCCTGGCTGGTGTGGATCAGTGGATTGAGCGTCAGCCTGTGAATTAAAGGGTGACCAATTTAATTCCCAGTCAGGGCACTTGTCTGGGTTGTGGGCCACGTCCCCAGTAGGGGGCATGTGAGAGGCAGCCACACATTGATGTTTCCCTCTCTTTCTCCCTCTGTTCCCCTCTGTCTAAAAAAAATAAATTAAATCTTTAAAAAAAAAAGAAAAAAGATCTTTGCTTTAAAAAAATAGAATTGGCAGTAATGTGCTAGACTCCTACCAAATGTTTAATCCTTGCATTTGAGCTCCCAGTTGGGTCACATTATTATCCCCATTTAGATGAGGAGCTCACACTTAGAAAAGCTTATGACTCCAAGTCCTAGAAGTAGTCTCAAAGCCTGATCTGCTTAACACCAAAGCCGATGCTGTCACCTCTGTGCTGTACTGATTATACTGGCACTCACTGAAGTGTGAGGAGGAGGTAGGAGGTAGTTAAACACAGGAAGGGTTACATGTTCTCCTGGTGCCAGTAGTCCTGTAAGGGATACAAATGGGTCCTTCAGTGTTTTGACTAATCTGTTATAAATGAATCATGTTGTTTATTCTGCACATTCTAAAGCCTTTGTCTGTGTATAGTTTTTGTTAACAAGCATGGTTCTTTTTCTCAGTTCTTTGGGACCAAGTGCACTAAAGGTGATAGAGACTGCAGCATCAGTGAAACGGAAAGAATCTTCCCGGAGCTCAGCTCAACCAAAAGAAAAGAAAAAGAAATCTGCACTTGATGAAATCATGGAGGTACAGTTGATAAACTTCCTGGTGACTCTTCTTTCTTTTTATTGAGTTTATTGGGGTGACATTAACAAAAATGTACAGGTTTCCAGTGCATGATTCATCTGTACACTGTGTTGTGTGTTTACCACATCAAGCCAATCTCCTTCCTTCACCATTTATTCCCCAAATCCCCCTCCACCTCTCTCCAACACCCTGCTGCCAGCAATCACCACACTGTTGACCATGTTCATGAGTTTTTCAGTGAACATGCAACATGTTCCATGTTCCATGAAAGAAACAAAAATTTTTGTTTCTTTTTTTGCTCAATAACTCCCTGCACACACACTGATACAGTTTAAACCAAGGAAACTTAAATAGTTTCACCATTGTTAGATTACTGTAAAATTATAAAAATGTACATATACTAGGCCAGGGAAAAGGATCCGAGGTGCAATTCTATTTGAATAGAATTAGAACTCCCTAACTGAGTTTAGTTTCCTGCCTCAAGTGCGATCTTCACAACTCTCCATGCAACTATGGTCAGTAGAGTTCAAAGAGAAAGACTTCAGTTATAGTGGAAGCTGGAAGTGAAGTTCTGTTCCTCTTCTGTGGCCGTGAAATTGTCATCCACAGATTCCCCTGCCAACCTGTGCTCTCCTACTGTCTAACTTCCCCTCGCCGCCTTCTTGGCAGCAGGAAGAAACTGGCATAGTTTTAATTTGATTTAACCTGATAGCTAAGTTTATGAGATGAATCATTGAGGACTTGGAATTATCTGAATCTAAGGCCATACTTTCTGCCTGGAACTCTAGAGCAGTTCTGCAAAAGGTTCTTAATGTAGTCCTAAATATTCCTTTCTCCCTACTAACACATGACCTTACCTTATCATCAATTTTATGAAATAAGTGGAAACAGAGAAGAGGAAGGACAGGTGAAGAGAAAGAAGAAATGGATACAAGAAACAGCTTTTTTCCCCCCTGTAATATCTCCTGTAGTACCCCCATCGTTTTCTTCATATGTGAAGGGATAGGAGATCATTGTTCAGTCTTCCCTGTTACTGAGTTCTCACACAATGAGGAACTGTCTATAAAGTAAAAAAGTATAACACAAGATGTGTACAGTCAGAGACATGGTGATTACATCATTCAACAAATGCTGAGTCAGTGTTATGTGCTGGGTAAGCATTGTGTGAGGACAGGGGTCTGTAGAATAAGGATAAAAACAGGACTTGTTGCCATGGAGCTTTCATTTTAGTGAGGGAGACATTCCCCAAACAAGTGAACCAAAAAGTAATTACGTACAAAATGCTAAGTCCTAAGGAGGTCTGAGCATCAAGAGTGGGGAGATAGCTTGTTCGAAGGCAGGGAGGAGCTAGAGGTCAGACATCTAAAGGAAGAGTCAGTGTGGCTGCTGCATGGTACAGGAAAGAGTGGCGGCCTTTGAGGTTAGACAGAGAAGCAGAGAGGGAGTTTTTAAATTGAATTCAAAGGAAAGTGGAAGGCCAGATCTACCTGCTTGGAATGTAAAATGTGCTGAATTTAGGAAGTTGGAGGAATTAAAATGAGGTTTAGGATTAACCGAAGAATGACATCATTCAGTTCCATTGAAAGTTGGTACTTAAGGTTCTAGCTTTAAGCACCTGAGAAAGAAAAAGGTGTGATATAAAGCCATAGTGGCCAGTTAGCCTTTTATTTTTTTGGTCTCCCTTTTATTTACATCTCTCTTCGTTGTATATTTCTTCCCCTCCATTTATAAGCTTCATTATCCTTATCAAACAGGGAAGCTCCTTTTGCCCTCAGACTCTGTTCCTAACTGTGCTGAGCTAAAGTGGTCTGTAAGTGTTGTTTTTACCACTGGAAAACATCGCTTGTTCCTCCTTCATGACAGTCACATGGGAGGACGGCGGAGGGGGGCAGTGCTTTGGTGTGCAGATGGCTTTGCAGTATTGCCTAAGTAGAGGTTATTTGTGTTTATTTTCTTGGTCAATTGACTTGCTTTATGACATTTTTTTAATCCAAGTTTTTAAAAATCAAAACTAATTGTGAAAACGTTTATTTGTGTATCAGAGCTTGCAAATTATATCATTGATCTTCTGAGAAGTATATGTTTTCTGTTGTTCTTTTGCTAAATAGAATGTTATTCAAATGAGGTGAGGATTCTAAAGGGATCATTTTGTGATTGTCTTGTCTGTTCCACAGATTGAAGAGGAGAAGAAAAGAACTGCCCGGACAGACTACTGGCTGCAGCCGGTACGTACTCCGCTGGGGCATCTCAGCTTCTGAACGTACTTTCAGGGGAATTATTTACATAGCATTTGGTATAAATTGACTACATTTCTAAGTTTATATAAATTGCAAAGATTGATATAACTTCAGTGAGGTTTTTTTTTTCCTGTTTGATCTTTAATTAGGGCTTGCACCTGTATTGGAGGGTTACTTCATGTTTATTAGGCTAATAATATTCCTTGAATTTAATGCTAAATGTATTTATGGCACCTTGAATTTAAGCCCAGAATTATTTTCCATTTTTGTTATAAGACAGAAGATTACAGTTTCAGAAATAGAATTAAATAGAGTGTAAATGCAGACGTACTTGTTTTCAACTTACATCTACTGAACTTAGAATATCCATTTAAGTACTTTTTAAAAAAATAACAGGTTTTAATTTTACAAGGTCAAGGAAAGCTTTGTATTTTGTTGCTTATTATTGCTTATTATTTTAAGATAATTTTATAGCAATTTGTAAACATGTAAATAATATTAAAATTATTTTATTGATGCTCTGTTTTGAACTTACTGGGAAGTAAAGTTCTCATAAAACCTTCAGGGGTACCTAAGTTATTTCTAATTGAATAAATTATTTCAGTTAATTCTCATGTCAGTCCTGTAAGGTAATTGTTATTATTATTCTGATTTTATAGGTGGGAAAACTGGGGTATACGGTATTTGAGTACTTTCCTCAAGGCCATTTAGTTAGTGGTGAGCCTGGGTTTCCCTGGCAGTCTGATTCAGTTGGTTGTACTCTTAACTAGTAAGTGGTACTTCCTCGGAAGCTTTCGTCACCCTGACTCCATCTCTGAGTAGAATTTTGGGTCAAGAGTAGTACAGGAGGAACCTGTAGGGGAGAGACCACCCATGAATTATTTTCGTTTTCCCTGTTAGAGTAGCTAGCATTTGAACATTACTAGTTTTGTATAATGTTTTTGAAAATGTAATCAACAATTTTGATTACAGCAGTAGTTAGTTCTTAACCAGGAGTGATTAAAAAATATTTTTCTGTGTGTATCTCAGTGTCTATAATAAAAAACATAGAACACTTTATTACATATACTTGTCTTCTGGAGATGACAGTGTAGGGTAACAGCAAGGTCATGGGATTTCAAAATACACATGCTTAATACTCCTGCCATCCAGTCTCCTGGTGTGAAGTGCACATTTTCACTAACCTCCTAGGTGAATCTTATATGTACCCTTGGCTAAGAACCATTGGTTTAAAGGAAAAAGAAAACAAACTAAAAGCAGCAAGAAGAAAGGCAAAACATTCCAAATTTTACGTAGTCTAAAAATTCTCTTCCTGTTAACAAAACATTCAATTAAATATTACTTTCTGTTGATAATTTTCTCATATTGTAAATTATTCTGCTTTTCTACGTAGTTCCTCTCATAGAGTGTTACCTTAAAGTGAGAATTAACCATCAATGCTCTGATGACTCAGTATGTTTCTTATTTTGAAATAGGCAGTTTGTTTGCTTTATTTATTACATAGCCAGCAGTCCACAGAGAGCGATCAGAGAGCTTCATTTTTTAAATTCAGAAAAGAAAGGTTTTGAACAGATTTGTTGTGAGCAGATGTCAGTAAGTCCAATGATGTAATGAGCTGTCTCTAAATGAGGGCCTTTGAGAGATTTAGTCCAGAAATATTCTGGCTAAATCAGAGAAGCTGTGGTATTATTTTCTTTATTTGAGAGTCTTAGTAAAACAGAGACTTAAGAATAAGACCCTTCAAGTCTTCTCTTAAACGTGTCTACCTTCTATTAAACACCCTCTCCCAAAGTCCTCACTGAATTTGTGTTCATACAATTGTTAGCACAGTTTAATGAAGTACTTGTGACCATATGGTACCTCTGTTATAATTACTTGAAGTAGCAAATGTAGAATTACTATAGTGAATATATAGCAATAAGTTAGGTGATTTAATTTCCACTATCAACCATTAGCGCAGCTAATCCAAATCAGGAAAACAACAATTAAAGAAGCAAAATCAAAATGTGTTAATATAAAATAAGCCCAGATTTCCCTCATATTTGAAAATAGTTACTCAACAGAAGGGTACTTAATCTGGAGGAATCTCGTCTATACCAGTAACTCAGAGCAACATAATGAGAAAAGCACACTGTGGAGAGTGTCGTGTCCTGACAATTCCCAGTGAGTCTCTTGCCATCTGTACTCCTCTCTGCAGTGAACACAAACAGAAAATGTCCTCAACACTCTTCACTTCCTTAAATGGATAGGAAGAAAAAAACTCTTTATGGAAGACGTGAAGTAATAGAGTTAAGATTTATAGATAAAAGTCCTAGACTTCAAGAAACCTTTACTATGGAAATCAGTCATTAGATAGATATTTTTTCCTCTTGGTAACTGTGTTGAATAAGAAGAGAAAGAAGGAATGAGAGACTACTAAGGAAGCACCATTGTTGGGAAGGCTTAGAACTCCAGATTTTCTTATTTAGCAGAGCATTCGCATTTTACAGTGATTTTTGGTGAACACTTAAAATGAAGAAGTAAAACAGAAAAGGTAATTTATATATTTCCTTTTATCTTTATTTTTTATTGTAATTTTTTAGGAAATTATCGTGAAAATTATAACCAAAAAACTTGGAGAGAAATATCATAAGAAAAAGGGCATTGTTAAGGTAAGAGCTGAAGTTATGATGGAATTTGTGAAAGGAGCTGGTGGGTGATTGAGGAAGGCCATTTGGTGTTCCTTACAAATCAAGTCCTAGTAGCAGAAAGCACCTAAGGGTCTTGATGGTCCTGTGAAAGGAAAGTTAAATTCATAATCATTGGAGAAATAATTCATGTTCAACCATTGTTTGTACCTAACCTCCGTTTGCTTTCTTACTGGAGTGTGTATGAATAGTATGGATGAAATCCCATTGGCACCTCTTAAACTCAGTGTGCACACCTTGCTAATCAGTAAGATACACTCTTTCTATTGATGATGGGCAATACAATTGTGCTCCCAGAATTCCAAGGAGGTCTTCCATGTGTTTTGCCTGAGAGACTGTCTTTTGACTGCTCCAGGATTTTAAAATTGAAAAATCAACATTCCAGTTCTTTTTTTCCCTTTCGCTTTTCCTAAATATAGTTTCATTTCAGCACCCAGGCTGCACATGCATAAATTGTTCTTCCACTGTCTTTGAAGCTAGACAGAATTATCTCTCTCACTATATTTCTTAAAGTCTTATTTTTTTTTTTTTAAGATTTTATTTACTTTTGGAGAGAGGGGAAGGGAGGAAGAAAGAGTTAGAGAAACATCAGTTTCTGGTTGCCTCTTGCTCACCCCCTACTGGGGACCTGGCCCACAACCCAGGCATGTGCCCTGACTGGGAATTGAACCAGAGACCCTTTGGTTCACAGGCCAGCACCCAGTCCACTGAGCCATACCAGCGAGGACTTAAAGTCTTATTTTAAGATAACCAGTCTTTATTCTTTTCAGATAAAAACCTTAACTAGGCTTTGTGTTGCATCCAAAGAACCATAGACCAGCAATTTTTAACCGGTGTGCTGCAAGAATTTTTAAAACTCGCCGTACCTGTTTAGTCAGGGGCACAGACTTTTTTTTTCCCTTAGGTTGTCAGATAAAAAATGACAACAGCCAACACAACAGTGGCTGTCTGATGTGAATGAATAAAAATTATACCTATTAAGATCAGCAAAAAATACATTTTTTGGTGTGCTACAGAATTTTAGTATTTTGTGTGTTTGTGCCATGAGATGAAAAAAGTTGAAAATTGATTACGTGGACTAAGAAATAGTAAATGGTTACTAGAAAATAGTGTTGTTTATAGAAGGAGTTACTCTTCTTTTGAATGGAATTTTATTTCATTTTATTTCTATCGTTTTGAAATTTATGTTCACATATCTCTTCTATTATAAACGTATTGATTTTACATGACAGGAAGTAATTGACAAATACACAGCTGTTGTAAAGATGATTGATTCTGGAGACAAGCTGAAACTTGACCAGACTCATTTAGAAACAGTAATTCCAGCACCAGGTAAATCTTTGTGCAGACCATTTAATGCATATGCCATCAATGTGAATGCTTCCATTCATCAAACCATAGCTTTTTGACATTACTTGATAGTTATAGATATGAGTTTCCTTTTTAGAAATATATAGCTGCCATTATAACTGATCCTACACTTGGTGATGTGGTAATTTGCCAGTCTTCTGAGAAAGCTCTTTGTGTCATGAACAAATTTCCCCTTCCCGGAGTTTGTTTTTTCAGGAGCAAAATACAAACATATTTGGATAAATTCAATCACATTAGGGTTATTATTAATATTCAGTATTTATTTAGCTACCTGAAATATAAAGTAAAATCCAGTATTTTGTTTTTTCTTTTCCTTAAGTATCTTTTTAAAAATATATTTTCTTGATTCTGCTATTACCATTATCCTGATATTTCCCCCTTTGCCCCACTCCACATGGTACTCCCAGCATTCCCCTACCTTAGTTCATGTCCATAGGTCATACATATAAGTTCTTTGGCTACTCTTATTTTCTATACTGTACTTTATATCCCCATGGCTATTCTGTAGCTACCAATTTGTACTTCTTTTTTAAGAGTTTATTTATTTATTATTTTAAGGTTTTATTTATTTATTTTTAGAGAGGGAAGGGAGGGAGAAAGAGATACATCAATGTTCGGTTGCTGGGGGCCGTGGCCTGCAACCCAGGCATGTGCCCTGATTAGGAATTGAACCTGCGATGCTTTGGTTCGCAGCCCACGCTCAGTCCACTGAGCTACACCAGCCAGGGCTTATTTATTTATTTTTAGACAGAGGAGAAGTGAGGGGGAGAGAGAGGGAGAGAAAAACAATGTGTGATTGCCCGCAAACACCCTCTACTGGGGGCTTGGCCTGCAGCCAAGGCATGTGCCCTGACTGGAAATCAAACTGGCAACCCTTTGGTTCAAAGGCTGATGCTCAATCCACTGAGCCATACCAGCCAGGGCCAATTGTACTTCTTAATCCCTACATCTTTCCCCTCATTGTCCCCCATCCCCTCTCAACCGATAACCCTCTAAATGATCTCCATATCTATGATTCTGTTTCTGTTCTGCTTGTTTGCTTAGTTTATTTTTTAGATTCAGTTTTTAATAGTTGTGAATTTGTTACCATTTTAACATTCACAGTTTTGATCTTCTATTTCTTACATAGTTCCCTTTAACTTGATCATTTGGATACTAACACAATGTCTAGTATTAATGCTCTCTGGTCAGGTTCTTTGCCTGTGATACAATTTCTTCATGGTGATGTCATTGCTGGAACAATGATCATGTTAGTATGTAAAACATTTACTTATCAGAGCCTTTATTCTTTCACTCTAAAATAAAAACTCATCTAATAAATTAGAAATTTTCCCAATAAACTGGACTTCTTTAAAGTACACATTTTGATAAGTTTTTTTAACATGTGAATACTCTTATAAAACCATCCTTAAATCAAGATAATGAATGATAGCCCTGGCTGGCGTAGCTCAGTGGATTGAGCGCGGGCTGGGAACCAAAGTGTCCCAGGTTCGATTCCCAGCCAGGGTACATGCCTGGGTTGCAGGCCATGGCCCCCAGCAACCGCACACTGATGTTTCTCTCTCTTTCTCTCTCTCTATCTCCCTCCCTTCCCTCTCTAAAAATAAATAAATAAAATCTTAAAAATTAAAAACAAAAAAGAAAAAAAAAGATAATGATTTATCACCCTTCCCCTGCCCCCAGTTTTTCTCATTTTTCTCTATAGTATAATTGTTCCCCTCTCACTTTTCCTCTCTTATAGTTTTAAAAAGTGAAGAATTAAAGTAAGCGGGTTTTTCTCTGATTACTTCTGGACTCTGAACATTTCTTCCAAATACGTTATACACCGTGTAATCTAAAATTAAAACCATACCCCTTTCACAAAGAAGTGAATGGAGTCTTATAATGTGATAGTAATTATGGTATTCTAAACTCTATTTTAGAATATTATTGAGTTCTTAAATGATTAAGAACTTATAAGAGGAAGGTTTTGGTTTTTGTTATATTTATTCAGTGTAATTGTATTTTGCTGTGACAGAAGGAAAAAGTGGACATTTTCTTTGCATTCAGTGTTACATTCTTCTCTATTGCAGGAAAGAGAATTCTCGTTTTAAATGGAGGCTACAGAGGAAATGAAGGTACCTTAGAATCCATCAATGAGAAGACCTTTTCAGCTACTATAGTCATTGAAACTGTAAGTGTGTTCACACAAAGACAGAAATGTCAAAGTGCTTTTTAAAATGTGCCGGTTCTTTGTCATTGGATTGGTCTTTGTTTTAATCTAGAGTTTGGATTTTTTGTTTGCCTTCTGTCATATTTAGAAAAATCTGTAGGCTTACTTTCTCTAGTGACTCTACCATTGTTAAAACATTTTCTTTTCCAATTACAAAAGAAATGCCTATGTGTCTTAGTCCATTCGAGCTGCTAGAACAAAATACCATAGACCAGGTCGCTCATAAACAATAGAAAAGTATTTCTCACAGGTCTAAGGTCCAAAAGTCCAAGATCAAGGCACTGGCAGATATGGTGTCTGGTGAGGGCCTGCTTCCTTTTTATGTATCTTCACATGGTAGAAGGGACAAGAGAACTTTTGGGGGTCCCCTTACAAGGGCACTAATCCATTCATGAGGACTCAGCTTCTGTGACCTAATCACCACCCAAAGGCCCCACCTCCAGGTATCATCACATTGGGCATCAGGTAGCAATATACAAAGTTTTTGTGGGACATACTCAGTCAATAGTAATATTCGTATAAAACCTGAAAATTACAACTTAATAACTTTTTAAATTACCCATAATCTCCCAGACAAATGATAATGCCTATTAATATTTTGGTCTGCTCTTTTTCAGTCTTTACATTTTGTAAAACTGTCTACAACACATACAGTTTTCATATTCTGACTTTTTTCTCTCACATCTAATACAAAACTCATTTTGGTGTGGTATAATTAGTGGGGAATGTATAGTCATAATTAACAGGGAAAAGGCCACAGAGATCAATTTTTAAAATTGTCCTTTCTTTTGTAAAGGACGTAAGGTAGCAAAGATCAATAAAATAATTAACTTAAAGAAATCTGACGTATAAAAATTGCTTGTTGATTTAGAATTGATATTTCAGTAATATATGGATTTGTGCATGAGGGTAAGGGAGACTTAAGACCTCTGAAGAAGGAAGGATCTGAAACATGCTTTGTCCTAACTGCCTATACTCTTTAGAATCTGAACTATGTGTTATGTATCTTTACCTCTAAATGAAAGACATTTTTGTCTCCAGTTCAGCAAGTGTGAATATTTGGGGGGAATAATAGACGCCTTGGAGAGTCTGATGGAAGTTTTGAACTCTCTCCAAAAAATTGTACGTAACTGCCAAATTTTATGTACTTGTTGTATTAAGGAACTCTAGGCCCCTAAACCCACTTGTGGGTTGGTTAGAGAATATGTGTTTCATGAAGGTTTTCTGAAAATAGCATCTCTTTATTTGAGAGGAATCACATTTTAAGTAGGTGAAGCATTTTTTTTCTTGTCCTGGACAATACTGACCTAGAAACTGTCACTATGTTAAACTAGAGGGGGAAAGGGAAAGGTAGTATCATCTGTCATTAAGGAATTTATCAAGCTGACTGAATGAACAGATTGAGGGTTTATTTTTAAGTCAGTTAAGTTTTTCTCTCTGACTCCATCAATATATGGTTCTGGAAAATCTTGTTTTTCTGTAGCTGCTTGATCCTCCTCCACTTTTTAATTTCATAATACCATCCAATTTAGGTTGTGCTTCACGTTTTCATCTTAGGGGAATACAAAACAACTAATTACTGTCAAGGGTGTTCTAGGTTCCATCCAGATAATCTTTGGTTTACAGTTTGTATAACTTTTAAGAACTACTTTCTTCTCTCCTGCACCGAAACCCTAGTCTCACCTTCCTTTCGCATGCTTTAGTTGCATACAGACGTGTCCTGAAATAAAACCTATGAGGAACTCCTCATAAAAAGCCTTTCTGGTTAATTGCAAAGCAGTACTTACTTTTGGAAGAGGAAACCCACCTGCTAATTTTTTTGTTTTTTTTTTCTTTTGTGGCCTGCCTGCCCTCAGAAAAAAAAAAAATCTGTGTTTGCATGTGTCTCTCTGTGTGCCCATGCTTTCTCATGTCACTGGCATGAAACACGTGAACATTTCAGATGATTCCTGCTATTTTTACCATTTCTGCAATCTTCAATTTATTATCAGTATATTTGAAACATTTATTATTCTTACATATTATGATTTTTAAATAGCTAACAAAGTGTTCAGAAACAACCTCAGTCTTTTAACTACTTACCTAATTAACCCAAATATCTGACTTATTTTTAGTCCCCAACTTTCTAGTTCTTATCATAAAAGTGTAATTGATCATTGACCTTTAAATTTGATAATAGCTCCTTCCCTTCGCAACAGCATGGATGCAGCTGGAAAGCATTATGCTAAGTGAAATAAGCCAGGCAGTGAAAGACAAATACCATATGATCTCACCTTTAACAGGAACCTAAACAACAAAACAAACAAACAAGCAAAATATAGTCAAAAGCACTGAAATAGAGTACAGACTGACAGAGACCAGAGGGGAGAAGGGAGGGAATTTCAAGGGAGAATGGGAAGGGTTTGCAGAAACAAGTATAAAGACACATGGACAAAAACTAGGGGTGGGTGGAAATGGGTGGGAGGTGGGGAGGGAGGGGTGGCTGAGCTGGGATGGGAATAAAGGACAGAAAACTGTATTTGAACAATGATTAAAATAAAATTGGAAGAAAAAAAGACTCAACCTGGGTCATCCATTATATAGGAACTCATTTCCTTTAAATGCAATCATTATTGTATATTAAAAGAATGGCATTTTATAAAGCATTTTAAATGGAAAGCATGAGTAAGAGTAAAAAATACTAAAATCTCAGTTCAGGGTTGGAGTCATTATCATCCGCACCATCATTTTATATTTCGCAAGGAGAGAACCTACTGTTATATTTTAACCAAAAGATTTAATAGTGAGTTGAAAATTATTGAGCTCATACTCATATTATGTTCCACGTATTCTAAGTATTTGGTATGTATGTACTCATTTATATTTTCCAGCAATCCAAAAATACATGGTTTACTCACAGGTTGAGGATGGTATTTAAACTTGGGTCCAGAGCCTGTATTCACAGCCTCCATTGTCTCAGGTTGTGTCAGTTTTTATGACAAGTACTTTCATTATCTAGTTTTCCCTTCCCCTTTTGGTTGGATATGAAGAGAAGATGAAAATATATTTAAAGTTGGACTTATTTTCTATAATAAAGAAGAGCTAACTTTTATAGCTAAACTAGACAGACATGTTTGAGTATCTATATTGCTTAAAATAATGTTATTTGCTATATAAAAAAGAAAAACTTTCAAATTGATAATGGTACAAATGTAGTAGAAGTTAACTTCTCATTCCAAAAGTCCAAAATGGGTGTTCTTGATCAGGGAACAGCTCTTTTCCAAAGGGTAAAGGGATTTGTGAGCCTGCAGCCCTTCTGAAAAAAGGCCCCTGTGGCTTTACCACCTTTAGTAAGTGGCTTTTTACAGTTGTGTTTGCTTCATGCAGACCAAGGAGAGCGTTGGATTGTGAGTGGAAGATAGCACGGTCTGGCCTGGAAACGCTCGCACCACTTTTGTTCACTTCTGTTCACCTCTGTTCACTTCCATGGGCTGGAGCTCCACCTCATGGCCACACCTACTGCTCAGGGAGCTAGGGCATCTCACTGTCTGGGAGGCACAGCAGACACCGAACAGCTAGCAGGTCGTGCCACAGCATCGAGTGATAACTGCTTTCAAATGTCTTTGAAGAAAATTATGGTAGTTCCTAATGAGAATGGCACTGAAAGTTGTTGAAGTTCATAGACATACAGAAATGTTAGCTACCCAATTTGTATTTCTAAGTGTAGTTCCTTTTCCTGTCTTAAGTACATGTGCGTTTTTAACCTTTTCAATTTCTTTCATTCGCAGGGTCCTTTAAAAGGACGCAGAGTTGAAGGAATTCAATATGAAGACATTTCCAAACTTGCTTGAGTTTGAAAATTTATTAACATTAAAATCCTAAAGCATCAAATTGGTGTTTCCCAAGGCATTATGAGACTCTACTGTGTTAGGGTGTGTCTTTTGTATAAGTCAAATGGATTTATTTAAATATTACTGTATAGTTGTTTAGCTAAATTTTTAAAAACTAATTATGTCTCATAAAGTATCAAAACTATGTAAATTTGTTCTTATTTTTATTTTCTTTTTAATATTTCCTTGATTTTTTTAGTCTTCATTAAAAGAATGTTATTACAAAGTTTTATATAAGACAATTGAGAATCATAATTAGAGGAAATTCTTCATATACTCTAAATTTATATTTTTAGTAGTAACGTTGAACTATAAATATAATTACATTTTAAAAAGTCAAACTACATATAATAGCAGCTTTATTGAGATATCATTCATATACCACATACTATCACTCATTTAAAGTTTATAATTTCAGTGGTTTTTATTTAGTATATCTACAGAGTAGTGCAACCATCACCACTAATTTTAGAAGATTTCATCACCCCCCAAAGAAAGCCTGTACCCACTGTCACTCCTGTTCTTCCTAGTTTCTCAGCCCCTGCCAGCCACTCATCTTTATGTCTATCTTAAGGATTTGCCAGTTTTGGACATTTCATATAAACAGAATCATACAATATGTGATTTTTTTACAACTCGTTTTCATGGAGCATAATGTTTACAAGGCTTATCCATGTTGTGGCATGGTTCAGTACTTGTCCTTTTTGTTGCTGAACAGCGTTCCATTGTATGATAAACCACACTTCGAAAAATCCATTTACTAGTTGGTGGACATTCGATTGTTTCTCCTTTGGGGGTATTACGAATAGTGCTTCTGTAAACATTGTACGAGATTCCGTGTGAACATTCACTTTCAGCTCTTAGGAGTAGAGTTGTTGAGTCACGCTGGGACTCACCTGATAACCAGCTGTGTTTAGCACTTCGTGGAACTGCCAGGCTGTGTTCCAAAGTGGCTGCCCCATTTTACAATCCCACCTGCAGCGCTGAACTATGCATTTTAAAATAAGTAAAGCAGTATATTATGTAGGGATGCAAAAGACGGAAACCCACCTCACATTTGCATATGCACAAACAAAAGGGAATTTGTAGTTCACATAATTGAAAAGGGAGGGTGTCCACCCTTTTGGCTTCTCTGGGCCGCACATTAAATACACAAACACTAACAAAAACTGATGAGCAAAAAAAAAGTTTTAAGTAAACTTAACGATTGTGTTGGGCCATATTCATAGCTACCCTGGGCCGCATGCAGCCTGTGATCTGCAGGTTGGACACCCATGGTTGTCATGTGCTGTGGGATTCAGAGTGTGAACAGCCCTTTTTTAAGGACTGGGTCATACTGGGTCTTTGGACTCACTTCTGACTGAGATAAGGCTGAAAAGAAGATGCCTCTTTTTCTGATGCTAAGTGATCCTTTAAAGCATATAGAATGATTTGAATAAGACCTCAGACCAGTAGGTACTGACCTGACAGTTCATTTCTACCGTGCATTGAGACCATCTTTAATTCCCCTTTTTGATTTGTTGCTGTAAATTGCCAGGTTTCCAATGCTAAGAAACCTCGTTTAATTTTCAGTATATTAAAAACACAAACAAATTTATGACAGAGGAACGATCTGAGCCAAAAGTCTGGTTTTTCTGAAACACAGGCTCATTTTCCTGACAAGGCATGTATATTTAATTGGTTTAATGGAAACTGTTTAGATTGATACCTAGGAAAAGCTTTGAAGACAGACTGCATAAATGGTAAAGATGATTAATATATCTGACAAATACCAGCACTGTAATACCCCAGCTCTATACAAAATTAAATATTGATCAATTACCAGTGGGTTGTAAGGTGCTCCACAAAATAAACGTAATATAGGTAATTGTCAGGTTTTCCTTCATCACCAAGAGCATAATACTTTCAGAAACTAATCAAAAGGTGGACATGGAAGAGTCCCTTCCTTTCCAACGATTCCCATTAATTTGGTTCTTTTGTTTGGAATTCAAAAGTGGTTGTTCATTTGTAATTCAAAATTAATTATATAGAGAAGGCATATTTCTGGTATCAAGGGAAACGTGTGAACCATATTAAAATTTTTGCAGGCAATGAATTTTAAAAACAACAGCTATTAATAAGTTTTGATAATTTGAATAACATGAATTTAATTTTAAATCTAGTTTCTTTTTATAGGACTCTTGCTCCATATCTGTTGCATATAAATATGCATCCCAACATTTTCATCATTATTTGAAAAACACCAAAGCACAAATAAAATACTACAAATCAAATTAAACTTATCTAAAGGTTGCAATGTTAAAGTCAGTTTTTAACAAATAATAACTAAGAACCCATTTTTGAAGTCTGTTGTATATTAGCATTTTAAGTAGTATTTTTGAAATAGGAAATGGAAAACAGATTTTTTTAAGATACATCAAAGGAGACCAGTTTTTATAAATGAATGAAACTAAAAGGTATGCCACTTAGTACTGAGATTATATTACAGAAATAATCATATTTGTTTAAAATTTTACAATTATGTCAAAATATAATCACTTGCTTTTTTAACTATGGGTTGAGTATTCCAAGAAGAGGTACTTTTGTCTGCATTCTAAAATGAAAAATGATTGTTACCAAATTGTAGAGAAAAAATTTCATAAAAATACCTTTCAGTTTTATAAGTAATTTTTATCAATTTGGCTGTGAAAATGTGCATTTCAGGAATGGATTTTAAAGATTTTATTTTTAAAGAGAGGAGAAGGAGAGAGGGAAAGAAATATTAATGTGTGATTGCCTTTCACACGCCCCCTACTGGGGACCTGGCCAGCAACCCAGGCCTGTGTCCTGACTGGGAATTGAACCTATGACCCTTTGGTTCACAGCCCATGCTTAATCCACTGAGTTACACCAGCCATGGCAGAAATTGATTTTTAAAGGGAAGTTATAAACAAAGGAAAACAAAGAATTACAATGGGTAAGACTTGGACTGTATCGCCAAAATCTTCTGTACTAAGGCAGACATGACAGTCACCTGATTTCACCTTCTATTTCTTGTTTACTTATTTTGCCTTATGAATGCCATTAGCCTTTTGTTAGGACATAATTTGCCAGTTAACTTATTTTGAAATAAATTTAATCATATAAGGTTTAAAATGAAAGGGCATTACTCTTAGAAATTGCTTAGCTACAAACAAAATGAAAGACCTACAAGGAGAACTACTAAGGAAGGTGATCTATTAAATCGGTGTGAAACTTGTGGCTTCACAGACAGAGGGGCTTCCGGAGCATTTGGAACCGAGATTCAGAATCATAGTAACGTCAGTACTGCATGCAATTAGCCATCTGAAATGATACCCTGAGCAATGTTTAAACCTGAGGAATTTAAGAGCAACAAAGTTTCCAAGGTGATTTTAGAATAATGTCAGGGAGGCAAGACTGCTACAGGATTGTAATTTAATCGGAAGACATCGACCCAATTGTATTTTATCTTACTTGGAGAAGGGCTGGCTTAACAGAATGAGAGTGGCAACTAAGGCCTTGTGATGGCTTATTTTATGTGTCAATTTAGATGGGCTACAGGGTGCCCAGAGAGTCGGTCAGATATTTTACTTGGTGTGTCTATTTTGGATGAAATCCACCTTTAAAAAGGTAAACTGAGTAAACCAGATCACCCTCTTTAATGTGGGTGGGCCTTATCCAATCAGTTGAAGCACTGAACAGAAAAACCCCCGATCTTTCCCCAAGTGACTGCCTTTGGACTTCACCTGCAACATTGGTTCTTCCTGCTTAGCGGCCTTTGAACCAGAATGTCGGCTTTCCAAGGCCCGCACCATTGGCCCACTTCACAGATTTTGGACTATCTGCCTTCATGATTATGCAAGTCAATTCCTTATACATTATAATTTACTCTGTTCTTACTCCATGCTCACCCTATAACCTCATAAGTGAATTTCCCACATAACTGACAACGTAAAAATGTACTCAACCTGCAAAGTTGAAGACCTGGCACTGAGTAAAATCACAGTAAATGCCACATCTGGGGCCCTGCCTGGATACCAGCCTGAGTCGCCAAAGCAGCTTTTCTTCATATCGTCCAAATGAGCATACATTAGCATCTGAAGACACAACAAAACCCCAAAGCTTCTTTGTAAAGCATTTATTTTCTTCATATGTCTTAATATCTAGTTAGTTTTTTAAATTATTCAAACTGAAGAGTGACTGCAAGAGCAGCTGGGAAAATGTATATTTATACATGCAATTTTCGAAGGTAAAATCCTTTAAGACCATCTGAGGAAGCTATAGAGCTGAGGCACAAAGTAATCCTTGTAGTGTCCATCGATGAAACCCTTTCCACTGTTGTGTACAAACCAACAGGGAACATCTGTTCCAAACACTTGATCTGTTCGGTAGTCTTTCTGGAGGCCTCTGCAAGGAAAATGGTGCGTGTGGTTATGGCACAGACCAAGGCATGCCAGCTGCATATCTCAAAAGGAGGCATGCTCCCCTCCCTTGCTGCTCTTTGTGCCCCTTCCACCACCAAATCTGCCTGCTCCCACCCATCGCCATGCCCCAAGTCATCAGAGTCTGCAGCTTAGTGTTGGAGGGACAGAATAAACCGTGTCCTTCGGTAACTCAAATAATCCTGACAGACTGACCAACGTGGACTTTTCCAGCAAAGTAAAGAGGGCTAGTTAATTTAGAAGTGGAAGGGAGGTGGGAACACAACTCTCAAGTGTTGTGGACATAGCCTCACATACTTGAAAAGAAGGCTATAGCTTTAATTTAAAAAATCTACATTTTCTAGCATGATGGCATGTGGGTATTTTTACGATTTCCTCCTTTGATCGCCTTTTTTCAATTTTTCAGCTTGTGACCACACAGCTTCTAATGTATGAAGGTGAGAACAACAGATTAATTGTGTATATATGGAGTCATCATTTTCATCTCAAATGGACAAAACGCAGTGTCCTTATGCACAGGTTATGTATGTGCTCCTTTTGGATGGATCGCTTAGGTTGA